CAATTAAGTGCTGATGAAGTGTTTGTTTGTTTTATCAGTTATGTATTTAATGTGGTTGACATATTTTAATTGTTGAAGCATGTTTTATATCTGATATACAATGGAATATTGGCCAAAATATCCCTTATAATATAGGTTAAAGAACAACCCATTTTCTTGTTTTAGTAAAAAGAGCCCATAGGTAATCTTTATATTAAGACTAATTTGCCCTTGAAAGAGTTTTTATACCCAACCTACAAGATTAAACCCTCAAGAAAATATAAATTCTTTCGCTGCTACTCGTCATCCGGTGAACGAAAAGTTATTGATTAGTTCGAAATGAAATAATCGCAACTAAGAATTCATGGTGTCTGTATAGGTTAGAATCTCAACAATTGCGAAATAGCTCTACAAGAATCTTAAATCGAGGCATGGGTAAAATTGTAGCGGCCCGTGAACTAGTCTTTTTCCATGTGGTGTCGCTTATTCGTTGTATGATCTTAAATTGCTTTCTTTGATTAGTTTCTCCTATAATCCAAGAGGGATATATGTTAGTCAAATAGTGCAAATTAATTAAACACTGGATACTTGATACTCAACACTCTCTTGCCCTACTAACTAAGTCACTTGTCACGGGCCGTCCTTTTTCTCCAAGAAGGGGCTAAAGTTGATCCGCCAAGCACGTTCAATGAAGATGGCCCAACTAGGTTCAATTGTAGAGATCCTTAAAGGATTTTAGAATATCTTCTAAAACTTTCCATTTAACGTAGAAATTCTTAAGAGAGTCTTATTGTACATATATTTGGTAGAATATCATAGGAGTTGATCTTAACTATTAGCAAGATCTAAGATGATCAACATCATCCGTTGAGGAGGTGGAGTAGTATAAATAGAGATAGTCTCATTCATTTGTAATCATCGCATAATTCACTCAATAAAGTATTCTTTAACATTCTCTAACACTTGTTGTTCTTTCTTAAACACTTGCACTCTTGTGCACTTTCGATTGAAGCTGACTTTGTATATTCACGAGGGACTAAAATAGAATAAGCGCGAGGGGCGTGAATTCGTGGTTAAGTGTCGCATGCTACTTGATGGAGGTTCAAGTCCATAACACACTGCTATGGACGGTCTGATACTGAATAAAGCCTTATAAATTAGAAATTGTTAATTTTAGATGATACTCAATTACTCTTTTAACCACCACCCTATAAACAAGATGTCACGTTCTCTATTTTATTTAACAATAAGAGAGAATACGTAATCTTTTGATTCTTCAGATTTTTCTACGAAACGTATCGATTATGAAATAAAACTAAGAGAAACGTATCGATTATGGAATAAAACTATGATTTGTTTATGCTAACCTTTAATCGTATAAGAGCGGTTCGTACATAATTTGTTTATGCTAACCTTTAATCATTAATGGTATGAGAGCGGTTCGTATATGATTTGTTTATGCTAACCTTTAATCATATAGCTTTAATCGTATGAGAGGGGTTCATTATTAATGTTTTGGATCTTAATTGTAAAATTTTGAGATTTTTTTTGAGATTTTATACAGTTTAATGTATCGTATGTTAATTGTAATATTTTGAAATTTTATACAACTTAATTATATTACAAATGCAGGATAAATAAGAGCAACTCCAATGCAAAACATCAAAATTGAAATATCAAATATTCATTTGATAATTAAGATAATATTTTAATATTCATTTCCAATTCATCTACTCCAATCATGGTTATCAAAATTAATAATCAATAGGAAGTTTTTTAGTGGTTTTATTTGTAATTGTCACGTGTCATTTTGTGATTGAATGTTTAGGTAGTTAATTTTTTGATAACTCAATTTCCAGGATGTATTTTTACTTATGAAGATGTAGATTATCAAAATACTTACCCATTTTGATACTCCCATTGGAGTAGAAATTTTTTATTTTGGAATATCAAAAAGGTATTTTATGGGTTTGATAATCCATTTGATACCCCAATTGGAGTTGCTCTAACTATCATATTTTTTTATTTACTTTGATTCACTAAATCTAAATATATCTCCGTCATATTCTCTTTCCTTCATATTTTTCACCGAGTAACTCTTCTCAAACTAGCGGATTAAAATTATGATTTATTTGAAATATCCCTCACCGACTTACATAAGGAGGAATAAGCCCAAGCATTTTTATATTTTTGCCCAAAAAAAGGGGTTGTAAGTTTCATTTAATATAAACCTAAATAA